TGAAAAAAAATCCCATGAAAGAAATAAGAATTCATAAATATTTTTATACTATTAATCAATAAGAAATTATGATAGGTTTAACTTTTAAAATATTTATCGACACGTAATAAAATCAAGAACTCACTACATATTACAATATCTAGGTGAATGATAATGTAAAAGACTTTACATAATTAATATATAGAAAATAAATAGGATTTTAAATTTCCTATGATTTTTTTTTTCAATTACTTTATCTAAAATACATTGTAGGTTCAATTCAAGCCGAAGGCTTCATATCAGTAGAGTTTTGCTTCAAACGACCTTACAACTCATGTTAACAAGTAGAAAAATAAATATTAATTAAATAAAAACAAAAACACATAATATAGAAAAGATTATCAAACTAAGTCGTTGTCTGTAGGGCATTAGTTAACAAAAGTTTGGAAAATACCTGATGGCAATTATAAATTTGAGAATCTATAGTTCTAAGCTTTCACAATTTACTGTACATATCGGGCTAACAATATCATTAGAATTGAGAATGAACTAGCCTAACTAAAAGGAAGAGGGTTGCCCCACTCATTATAAGAAATATTTTGAACAAACACCTTATCCATAAAATTGTTATAACAAGAATGTTGATCACGAGTTCCAACCTTAAAAGTAATTGTGATTCCTATTTGAATGAATTTCTAGATAGACGCCTTCTAATAAAGAAAAATGAGAAAATAAAAATAGTTTATCTTATATAGAAACTTTCTCGTATGTTTTCAACAAACAAAATTGCTTGTACACTAAGATAATTTTAACTTACATAGAGTTTCATATCTATTTTTCTCACTTGGAATGAATTTATTGAGAAATTTGTCCAAATAAACTCAGTCTATAAAAAGAACCTTATCATTGGTCGTCTTATAGACCAATTCAAAAGAAATTGTGACACTGAGTTCCTTTCCATTCAGGAGCCATTCTCATCCAATAAGAACAGGCTTACAATTGATCTTAACGGTTTTTACAAAGTACATGAAAGAATGAAATCGGTGGTTAAGCAAACAGGGATTACCGTAGTAGTTATGTAAACAACTGTGCAAAGGAAAAACAGGCACCACTGTGTATGAGAGTTTAACCAAATCCAGAGAACATAGAGAGACGGAGAGATTGTAAGCATTGAAGAAATCAAAACATTGCAAGGACTTAACGGTTGATCTTAACGGTTTTTACGAAGTACATGAAAGAATGAAATTGGTGGTTAAGTAAACAAGGATTACCATGGTAGTTATATAAATCACTGTGCAAAGGAAAAACAGGCACCACTGTGTAGGAGAGTTTAACCAAATCCAGAGAACAAAGAGAAACGGAGAGATTGCGAATCTTTGGTTTAACTGATTGTGATTTTCACAGGAGGCAAGATATTTCCAAAATCAATCCAAGTAAATGGTGGATGAGTGCTGATTTGTTCCTGAATTATTATACAATGAAGATACGTATTGCAGTGGAGATGTGCTGGAAGGTGCAATGGTTTGCATTAGCTTCTAAGGAAAATTAAGTATCACTCCAGCAAATCCCTTAACATATAAACAAAACTTATAACCACTGAATCTCATTTCAGAGGAAAAGTTATCTTATCATCAAATTCAACTAGCATCTAAGCTCAGGTTCTACACGGAAGATTACAATTTCTAAACATAGATGTCGAAACTGCTATATGAAGAATCGTCTATCCCTTCTATTCATTATTCACTCTCACAGTACACTGTATTTAATATGAATCTCTAAGAGCAAACACTTGAAATCCTCAACAATAATCACTACCATAGGACAAGCATAGCAGTATATTCCTAAAAAGCAACAGGCACCTTCAAAGGCTATTATTGTTGACAAGTCTAATTTCGTTACAAGAGAGCACGGTAACAGTTGAAATTGTTTGTTGAGAGATCAAAAACAGTAGCAAAAACTTACGGACAATCATTCTGCGGAAAAGAGGCAGCGAAGGCGAGAAGCAAAGAGGCCGGAGGAGTCAAGAGAAGCTTCTCGAAGGAGGTCGCGCTTGATGTTTTTGATGCGGTCGGAGAGAGAAGCGTTCTCGTCCCTGAGGACGTGGATATCTTCTTGGAGGTTGTGGATTTTGTATTTCTGCCCTAAAGATCGCATGCTGAGGAGAAGGATTCCCGTCATTGCGAAGAATTGAATGAAACTGTCCTTCCGTTTCACCGCGTGAGACAAAAACCCTAACCCTTTCTTCGAGTTTCCAGCGGCGGTGCCCGGTGTCGGAGAAGCTGAGGAGGAAGCCATGGCTATCAATTCACCGCTACAACAAAGATACAGAACGGAACCTCTCTTCTTTTTTCTTCACTCAATACAAATCGCAAGGAGTGTGAAGCTGAATAACCTGTGAGTGAACCTTGCTTTTTTGCTATTTTTTAAAATCTCAGAAAAAATTAATAACTAATTCATTTTTATTTTTAAAAAAAGTAAATAAACTCTTCTATAACTATACTCGTGATTTATGATTTTTTCTAAGAAGTTCATCCCCAAAGTTAATATTTAATGACATTTTAGTTTAGAGGAAAAAAAAAACAAAATATGTTTTAATCTTGATAGATAAGAAACTATTTGCTTTAGATGAACTTAGTAAAAAGGGAGTGAGAATAAAAAAGCCCAAAATAAAATGTGCCATGGAAAGCCGTAAAGAAACTAATTACTAGGCCTATTAATTGGGCTTTTAGCGGGCAATTTGAAAGCCCGGAGCATAAAACTAAAACAAATGGAATGCATGATTGGTTCGCTCTCTAACTACAATCGAATTCGTTTCTGGCTCTGAAAAAGTCACAAGTCGACGTTTTCGTTCTAGAGAGAGAATCAGAGTTTTTTGGTTTAAGAGGAGAGAGAAACACAGAGAGAAATCGAGAGGAAGAGACAGAGGGAGAACCTGAGAGCGAGAGAGAGGCTACCATGATAACGCGATCGAATCTGGCCGAACAGTTACGCGAGTATCAGATTCGATCCAAGCATGACTGGGCCTCTGTCTCGTTCTTCTCCTCCACTTCTTCAAACATCGCCAGTTCCAGGTATGCCCTACCCAATTCTTATTTCAGTTATGTTTTTTTTTTCTTCAAATTAGGAATCCTTGCCCTGTTATTAATCAAAACCCCCATTTTATTTATCATGTTTATTATAGTACTCATGGGATTGCGAGATCATGAATATCGCTAGGTTAATTTTTTTCATTTTTCATTTTCTTAGCTGGAATGTTTTGCCTCCCACCCCCCACCAGGATTTGGCTTATTTCCCGTTTATATATATATTTTATCGAGATGGATATTGTTCTACTTGTGAATATGATATGATTAGGAATAATTATTAAGTAAAAAAATTGGTGGGGAACAGGGTGATTCGTTTCGGCGTGGTTGTTTGGATTAATATTCAATTTGTTCCCAGACCCACCTGTTTTGTTTTTTGTCCATACAGACCATTTGTTATTGATTCCTTGATTTGGGTATGTTCGTACTCTTGTTATTTAAAATAGGGTAGATTTTCTTGACAATGATATTGTAATACATACATAAATACAAGGTTTTGGTTCATATTATTTTTTCGCTAATGCTGAAAGGAGGACATATCTTATAGGGGCACAAATCGTATTGAAATTAGGCGGTGGGGAAAATTGACTTCATGTAGTTTGCAGATTCACTGGTTACAGATGGAAATTAATTGGCGTAGTTAGTGGTTACTTTGGGGGGCTTTGATGTGCACGGGAAGGGGAATATTAGTATGCTATCGAATTTGATCTTCACTCTATATATGCTGAAATACTTGTCTAGGCCCTATGATTAAATTCCAAGTGTTGACACAATTGGTTAGGATGGCAGGTATACAGTTTTCAATTAAACTAATCAGAGGTGATGATTATTCAATCTCTTCTCTAAAATGTTTCCAAATTCATAAGTCATTTTCATTCCTAATCGCACATTTATTTGCTTATTATATCATAGCTTTCGCAAGCCTTTAGAATCAGTATATGTTTGTTGAGGTTGTAAAGGTAACTTAAATCATTATCACAGATTAATGTTTCACCTTTACAATTACTCGGAAGAGATGGTTTTTGCATGTGCGGTGTGGGGGTGGGTAGAGCAGTGATGAACATATAAAATGTGGAAAAGTATTAGAAGACGAAGAAGACATCACAGTCATGAATGATTGATAAGCAAAAGAAAAATTCACCACTTTGAATGAACAATTCAAAGATGAAAAAAACAAGTGTTTTTCTCCACAAGAACATAGAGAGAATTTTTCAAAAATCATAAGTTTCAATTTCAAACGAGTCAACAACTGTTTACAAAATTTAGCAAAAGCTTGTACCATGGACCTAGGACTATTAGGCTCATCTACTAATTAGGCCCATCCAGTGAGTATCTAATTAGTCTAGCAAATAATGTGCAAGTAAATTTTCTAATCACAAAAACATGGAAACATGTAAAAGGTCAACACAAAATACACAATTCATATTCTAGCTTTAACTCTCTATCTTGGTTTGTTATCAGATCTCAATCCATGCACTCATCAAGGAAGGAAGGAGAAAATAAGGCCCCCTTATTTGTTTAGGTCTAGGAAGCCCCAATACATTATAGGATATAGATACGAGGATACAAGGATTTCTAATAAATCAAGATATGTTACTGTTAATAACAATCACGTATATTTAGCACATATAAACAATATCTGTGAAGAGACATTTGTATCATCGTTCGTGTCTCATTGATTCATAAACATATTATAGTCAATAGATGATCATGGTTTGCAAAAACCATATCTGTGGTCAATGCTCTCTGATTGTCAGTCTTTTTAGGTGGTTTATGAGTTTGTCAATGTTTTTTAATGACATAATATGTAATAATGATGTTTTTTGATTCCTCTCTTTTGCGGTGCAGGGTGGATGTGGTGGTTTTTGTAATATGGGAACTTATTATTTTAGCCTTCTTGGTATTTTCTGTAGTCTCTCTGTACTTCAAGCACATCCGACTTGCTTTTATTTTAGTCTGCGTCACAATCCTATTGCTTTTATGCATGAAAATTACAAAGCAAGTAAGACTCGCAAGGAAAAAGAAACGAAGGATGCTTCTTCCATTGTCAATGTAAAACGGCATCAAGTATTGACATTTGGCATATTCCTATTCTCGTACAGCCTCACCGGTAAGGTCTTGGCCATTCTTGACCATTTCCATTGGTCCCGCATCTCATTCATCACTGGATTGTGTATCATCTGATTCCACCAAATTGACTAAAGTATATAATCGATGTTTTCACATCAACACAATCTTATCCAATTGGTTGATCTAGATCAATGTTGGAGTCAGTGTGGCTGAGTAAGGCTAGGATCTTGTCACAATATATATATTTGGCATATCTTTTTGCTGTTTGTTTCTGTATACATAGTGCAACTTGCAAGTTACTATTGAGTTTTTGACCCCTTGACGTTGAAAGTTCAAATACCATCAGATGAGTTATTGTATAATGACGACATATGTGCGAGATACGTTTGGCACTGATATTGTGCGCAAGGTGTGGTAGATGCGAAGTGTTGCTAGCTTTTGAGGACAATTTCTGTGGTTTTGGCCTTGTGTGGAGAATGTAACCCTTGTTAACTCCACTGTGGAAGGTTGATGTGAAAATATTTCTTTATCTGACTGACGTAATACCTGGTAAATTTGTTATTTTAAATGGGATACTTATGGGCAGATTCACATATTGACTTTTTTTCATTTCTGAATCATTCCGCATATTAAAGACATTTTATTTCCACATATTTTACATCAAATTGACCCGTTATTGACGATATCGCGCAATTAGAATAGAATGCGTCATGACTCCTGTAGCCACAAGTCAAGCATTCTTTCGATTTCATCATTGATAGGAGCATCGTCCCCGACTCTGTGCGGTCTGCATGCTTGTCCAGGAAACCCTTGCAAATGCTTGCTATTAAACTTCCAATGTTGTGATTGACAATAATACGATATCCTGTTTCTACTGTGGACTGAAGAAATGGATCTCTATGCCCTGTTCTACTATGCCCCAAATGGCTCCTATGACAACCAGTAGGCTCAGAATCATCCCAATAATTCCTAATGTCCAGTTCAGGTACCAGTTTATGCTATGTTTCTGTGGTTTCTTAATCTGTAGCCACATCAAACAGGGATAAGCTAAGGTTATTGGTAGAGCAACCCCTCCAATCAGACCAGCCAAACTAGGTAAGAATGGTAAAGTTACAGCAATAAAAAATGCTAGGCACCCAAAGAGCCCCCTGAATGCTATCCGTAGCCATCGGGGACAAGGCCTGTTCTTCTTGCTGGTGTATTTAAATTCCAGATTGTCAAATACCGGCATTGCATAGATTTGGAAGGAAGTGAGGCTGTTTATAACAACTAACAAGCTTGTCAAAGCGATGATGAATTTTGACGTATCATGTTCGTGGTATTTGTGTAAAGCACCTAACATCCCTCCATTAGTAGGTATCTGGAATCAAAGAGCGTAAATGGTCAGTCGCAAGTGAAAATAGTCAGAAACTTAAGGTATTACGTTTTAAAAACGTCACTCACTAAATTTCCATAGGCCCAATAACCTCCAATGGCAAGGGGGAACAAACACAAAGCGATCACCAGGTAAGCAAACATTACACCTCTCCACATAGCCAAGTGTGAAGGTTGCTTAGCGTCGGAAGGCATGGTTCCCTACAAAAGTGAATTAGGGGAAGCAACTAAGCAATATTAAACGCTTTTAAGTGTCTAGAAAAAACAAAAATGTACGAGGATGCAGGCATAAAGATATTATTACCTGTATTTCCAGCACAAGATTGTGACCGCGGAAAGCAAAGGCAATGATCCCAAGTGCATTCCACGCCCTAAAAACCATGGTAGTGTCTGATTGTCCCCTTGGTGGCTCATACGATACATGAGCAAGTCTACCTTTGACCACAGATAATATAAATATAAGAGCACAGTAACCTACGGCAGTGACGGCTCCAATGAGGGAAACCCCTGCAATTGAATTGAGGTTTGGTAACTGTGCAAGCAAAATGGCTGTGCATGTAAACACCAAATACCACTCAATTGGTGAGAGGGGGCATGGCTCTCCAAACACCATCTGAAAGAATATCTTCATTGTGCTTGCACCGATCATTATCAGTGTCACACACGTCCCACCAGATAAGTACATTATTGGGAACAGTGCCAATACTTTTCCCATCTTTACTCCTGCAGTTTCATTTCCCCCTTTTCCTTGTCAATTTCCCACGTTATTTTGGTCAACATTAATTAATCACTTACACCAGTAATAACCATAACCATCTATCTTTCTAATATTCTATAAAATACTTTTCAAGTTGCTTTTACGACAGCTGGTCAACCATACAGTTGACCTAACAGACAACTTGGGCAACTTAAAAGTGCAACAAACACGGGTTTTATCAAAAGCTACCAACATATGTCTCTTCTTACACTTATAAAGGAACAATTTTGTGGTTCTTTTATTATAGAAAATTAATTTTGAATACAATAAAATATAAGTCATAGATAAAACGGTTAAGAAATAAATTTTAAGATTAACTCAATTTCATAAAATTAGTTTATAAAATAAGATTTTCATTTATTTATATATTTTTAATTAATATGAGACTTTCAAAATAAATTATTATATGTAATTTTAATTGTTTATTTATTTTTCGAGCATGTTGATAAGAAATTCTAAAATTTCTAGTGTTTGGGATTTAAATTATTATGTCATATCTTTAAAATTTTAAATGTTTTATTTGAAAATTTTTGCATAAAATTTTCTATAAACAAGTTCGTTTCTACTTACATTTTTTTAAGAAAACATAATTGAAAATTCTAAAGAGTAATATTAAATGTATAAAAATAAACATTATAGTTGATTTTAAACATTTAATAATTCAAGTTACTTAGTATTAACCATATAAAAAATTGTATATTTAATAACTTCGTACACATATTCATACGTCTTTAGTAAATATTGAAGACAAAAGATAAATAGAGAAGAAGAAAAAAAGGAGAGATGAAAAGAGAAGGAAAAGGGAACAAGAGTGGGATTTGTAGAGGGTATAAAGAGAAGAAAGAGAAAAAAGGAAGGATAAAGTTGAGGTTAAGTAAAGAGACGTATAGATAAAAAAAGAGTATACAGACTTTTAAATTTATTCTCTTTATTATGAAATTTAAAAGATTATAATTTTAAGTTATTATTAAAATAATTTTCAAAAGATAGTTTTACACATAGGATTTAATTATTAGGACTAATACAAATTTTTGGACCACATATTTCTTCACCAACACATCTCATGTCAATTATTGGGTGGTTTATATTGTTTTAAATCTCCAAATAAAATAATACACACATCATATTACATTAGGATGAATAATAGCCATTAGACAACATCGTAACTTTTTTTCTAAATAGTGAAATAAATCAATCTTAAATTTTGCTAAATGCTTATGATGATAAAGTGTGGATAAGAATGTCCATAATACACCAAAAAGAGAAAAGCACCATCTGTATCATTATTCAACTTTAATGTTGTTTGTAGGAGGAGATGATATGATGTAAAGTTACCTCAATAAATAATGCATGTACTACCTTTGTGACATTTGTCCCTTTTATTTTATTTATTTAAGGTGTTGTTCACTCGAATAGATTTTGAGGAGAATGATTGAAAATTTGAAGGTAAATTTTTCTGTTATTTATTTGAGTAAATTTGAAGGTAGGTGAGAGTGGATTTGGAAGTAAAGTTTGTGAGAAGTAGTGTAAGATTTGATCGATGTGACAAATTAAAAAAATTTATTTCTAAATCCACTCTTACTTACTTCCAACTCCACTCAAATAAATAACAAAAAAATTTACCTTTAAATCATTTCAATCACTCTCCCCAAATTCATTCAACTAAACAAACCTGACAGAATTAGATATATAAGCATCAAAATTATGGCCCCGCATACAAATCAAATATTATGTGGTGCAGAGTAAAAACAATATTATTTAATTTTAAATTTTTATATGATTGGTGAATATTTTATGGATGAATTATTTTAAAAATTATATTTCTTGATTTTAATTAGATGATACATGGTATAAAAAATTATATGGGCAATTTATGGAAATTAACCTCAATAAATTAAAAGGTCAACTATTACCTCCTAAAAAAACATTGTTAATCAATTAGAAATAATTCCAGGGGTAATTTTCAAAATAATTATAATAAAAAGTAGTTAAAATCGTTTTACATCATACATGTTATGAATGGAAACATATTTATATAAAATTTTCAATATTCGTTAATCAATCAACCAATCATTTCTTATTCATCCAATCTTGTTAGTTTTTATAATAATTATTTTAACAAAAACATTAACAATAATAACAGTTTAATTAGCTAATAGTTGACGATTTTGCTTCATTGGTAAGTTTTTGTTTCACTTTTGTAAACATTCTGTCAAAGTTGTGTTAATCTTTTCATTATCCATGGTGATTATATTTTTCTCCATTTCATAAAGCATGCAATATCACTTTGTACGTAATAAATAATACAATACACAGACAAAAAAAACCTACCGAATGCTGCCATAGCTAGTCGGAGGTACCTACTATGGCGCACCCCTGATTCCGATTCGTGAAGCTGAACCAGTAGCCACAGCGTGTAGAGTTGCCATGTAAAAGCCACACAGAGACACGTGATTCCCCAAGTCCTGCATCAACACACCGGTGTATGCAATTTAATAAAATGTCTGTTGATACAACAACTGCTGTCGGGTTAGTATCACTAAGAAGAAGTTCGTTGGAAGTTAGTATCTTTAGTCGACATGGGACTTCCAACACACCTTACTCAAGTTAAGGTATATACATCTCGAGTGTGAGATTAGATATTTTCAATGATTGGTCCGACAGCAGCCCGATAACAGGTAGAACAATATATTCAACAAATAATAAATATCATTAGAATAGGTTCTAACCATGGTTCTGATACCATATTAGAATGAATTTTAAGTCTAACTCAACTCCACAAAACTAATTTGTAGATAAGTTTTACACCTACTTATAAACTATGAGCTGACGTTATCTCTAAAGTGATTCCAAACTATGAATTGACCTTGTGATTCCAGTACGAGGTTGTTGTTTAGAAGATGAGTGTGATAGAAAGTGATACGTACCAGCCAAGAGTGGTGAAGGCGAAGGGAAGAAGAAGGGCCTGAAATCCGATGCCTGAAGAAAGGACATGAAACGCAGCGTAATATTCGTTTCCGTTTCTGGATTGGGTGATGGGAAGCCAATCATCTTGTGGATCGAGCTTGGTGAAGCGACCAACTTCTCCGAAGTAATCTTGCATGTTTTCAATGGCTTTCTTCATGGGACTGGCCAAAGGGGTGCTCATGAAACGAGATGCAAAAGGGCTTTTCGGAGTTTTCGAAACTTCAACTGCTGGAGTTGAGATGCTTACCTTTGTTTCCACCACTTCCTCCATCGTTATTAGTGTGTTGTGTTGAGTTCTATTTCATGTTCGCATCCACCCTTATATATATAGGATATGTTGAAAATGTTCCCAATATACAATTCTACTTGCTATTTTAAAAAAGCAATGGTACGATAATATATTAATATTCATTTGGAAGGATAGAATACATATAAAAAAAATTAATTGTGTGTTTATAAAAGAAAAAAATAATACATGAATGTAAAAATTTGTGTATCTGAATCTATTATTGCTCATTTAAAAATCTTACATATATAAGGTATGAAAACTTAAATATTATTATATCGTGTGGGAACATATAAAAAAATTGCAAGGAAAAAATATTATAATATAAAAAGTTGTTTTTAAGAAATATTAGCGTGATTTAATGTTGGATAGTTGTATCTCGCGGCAGAGAATTAGAATTTTACCCAAAAAATTGTTTTAAAAATTTCATAATTTCGTTAAAAAAACTTGTACGAGAGTATTTGTAAATTTTGTGAAAAAAAATATAATGTTTTATTCAAAAAGTTGTATAAAAAAATTTACAAATTTTGTTAAAAAATATTACATATTGAATAATAATGTATTTGTAGAATAGATATTGAGTTGTCAAATCAAATCAAAATTTTATATAAATATATATTATTCTTATTTGTAATAGACTTTTACTAGATTTTTGTTTCTATTGCTTAATCTCCAACATAACTTTTTATGCTAAGGATTATATAACGAATTAGTGAGAATCATAATACTTTGGAACGGCATTAATTTATGAGCTGAAGGAAAATGTGATGGAAAAGATGAATACTTTTTGTTGTCTGTTTTGTGGAATTTTTCTTTCTGGTGTTTATACCAAAAAGAAGTAAACGAAAACGATGATGTTTTTGAATTGGTTTATGTGGGGATGATATTATTGGTTGTTGTGCATGGTGTTTCTATTTCCTTTACCAACCAACCCACTACTTGGACTGGAGTGACTGCTGTCTTTCTAACACAAGGACACGAATCTGTGAATCTAGTCACGACCACTCACTCACCATATTATAAGGATGTTGTGTTATAACAAACAAAATTCTTAGACTGGATGCCTACATTTACTTATTTTATTTCAAAGTGAATATCCAATTCATCTTTAAAATCTCACTTTATGCTTCAAAGTTGAAGGCACATCAAAACAAGTCGCAAATATTTAATTTGTCATTAGTTTAAAATAGATTCAAAAGATTGTATAGTTTTAAGTAATATTATATTACAAGTTACTGAAGGTGTGCTATGAAGGTGTACTAAGAAGTGGACTTTAAGCTTAACTCAACTTCACAAAACCAGCTTATAAGATAAAGTTTGGATCCACTTATATATTATAAATTAATCTCATCTTTAGTCGATGATACTTCTAACAAGATGAATGTTTGTTCTTATATCCATGTTTATCTTAATCATTTGTTCATAATTATATTTTATCGTAAACTAATCAATATTAAATATAATTAAATTATACAATGTTTTGTTTGTGGGTCGTTTAATTTTAATAATATTGCATGTAACATGTTTAACTGTTTGAATAATTCGATTTAGTATTAATGATAAAATCATCCTATACAATAATAAAAAGATAATGTTAAAATGTTTCTAGTTTTTTTTAATGTCAATTTTATTATTCACTTTTTATTTATATAATAATCTGTTTCCCACATGTTATGCTAAACTTGATTATCCATGATTTTATTTATTTATTTTTAATATATATATATATATATATATATATATGGTGTTTGGTATTAATATAACTTTTTAAAGTTACTAATTTAGTTGACAAAAAAGTCTTCATATATTAGTGAATTTGATAGGTGTAAAATTAAAGGGATTTGAAATAATTTTTAATCATTTTAATTTTTTTTATTTTAAATTAAAAATAAAAATTTATTAAAATATCCTAATATTTAAATGATACATTTCTTTATGAATAAATATTTTTTCTCAATTAAAATTTGGTAGACTTTAATAGATTACATAAATTAGTGAACTATATATACTCTTAAAATGTCATATAAACAATTCATTATAATTATAATAAGAGACAAAATAAGATGAATTTAAAATAATAATAATAATAAAATACAAGATTGATTTTCAATTTCTAAAAGTAAAATTTATGAATATCATAACTTTGAAATGTTATTATGGTTTAAATTGACGTAAGGTGGAAAGTATGGAAAGTGAAAGTATGAAGAATTCATTGATTAAATAAACAATTACCTTTATTGAAGTAATAAAAAAATAAAATAAGTTTTATTAAATTAAAAAAGCTTTAATAAAATTCGAGAGTTAAATATACATAAACTTATACAATATTTGAAACTTAATTAAAAAATTAAGATTTTATGAAATAATAAAAAATACACAAACACTCTTAACCATAACGATATTTTTATTATGGGATATTAAAAAAATACAGTAATGTTTGTGGAAAGTTATTATATGGAAGAAATAGTTGGAAATCTCCGTACAAAAAAGGTGAATTTATTTTTTGTTTTCGGAACTATTGTTTAAGTTCAGGGATTGTTCTTTTATGAAACTTACATTCTTATTAGAGTAATGACAATTTAGATTAAAATATCCTAAAGGTCATTTGAAGAAATTGATAAACCATGTAAAATTTTTAAAAAAAAGTATTTTAAAAATTTCTTAAACATTTTTATTTTAAAACAGTTTGTAACCCAAATTAAATACAACATTTAATGAATAACATACTTATTATATTTTATTGAGTTCTTTAACCACATTTTTTATTTTAATTAATCGTCTTGCAAAAATATTTCAAGTAATATTTTAATAGCCTCACGATAAATATAAAAAATACCTTTACTTTTATATTCTTAAAATAAACATTGAAAATAAACTCTCTTTAAAAAAAAAAAGATAAATCATTCATAATATATACGAGCTTAAGTGTTTTTAAATACATATGAATTATTTAGATTTTAAAAATAATAATTAAAAAAATGAAACTGAGAAAACAAAAAAAAAAAAAATAGAAAATAAAGAGATATAGAGAGATATATAATGATAATCTAGATATTAGATATATATATATATATAGTACATATGAAAATAAATTTTAGGTATTGAAATAAAAAAATACTCTATAAAGTAATGATTAAGTTAAAAACAAGTGGTTACTAAAATGATAATAAATAATAAAAATATAGTTTTTTACAATTAATAATTTATTCAATTTTAAAATAAAGTAGTTATTGGCAAATAATAGGATAATTAGATTTAAATTTAAAAATCATATTTAAGAAAATAAATTTAATAAAAAGGACAAAAGATTATGAATTTTTTATCCATAGTTATAAATAAGTAGTAAAATCTTATAAATGAGTTGTTAAAAAATAAATTTTAAATCTAATTTAAAATTTTAAAATTAAAAGCTAGACTTTAAATTTAAATTATTTCTACAAAACTGTTTATAAAAATTAATTCACATGAATCTTTCAACATAGTTTTATAAAACTGAAATAAATTAATATTTTAAAACTTATATTAAAAAAATTATTATTTATCAATTTCATAAAATTAAATTAAATTTAAATGTGTTTACTTTTTAAACCACCTGCTACATTATGTTCCAACGTACAACCTTAACTGTTACCAATTGTCTTCAACATTAAAGTTTTATGATTCCTTTTCGGTCAATCTCTGTTCCCACATTGAATTTCTAATAATGCCCTTCTAATGGCCACTTCGATCCACGGACATTAATTTGTGGCGCTACTTTTGTTTTAGACATATTTCAATGAAATGAAGGCTCCAGGAAGCAAACCGAAGCAACTGCGGATAAGGACATGTCTTTTGTTTCTTGTTGTGAAGGGCCGGCACGGGCAGGAAGTTTCCGCCTGCACCGCTAAAATGGCGGTGACGCGCCCTTCCCCGCCAGTGCCCGTGCGCGGAAATACCGATGAGCGGTAATATCGCAGTTGGGCTTTAAGTCCCCTTAGCGGAACCCGAGCCCAAGTAGGGTATTTTAACCATTAAGTTGCCAATTTTCATTCTTTCAAGCTTCTCGGCACAAACACTTCAACACATTTCTCTGGAGGTTTTCCACCTATTTCATCTTCCCTCTTGAAGAAAATCTCTTTCACTCACTTTTTCACTAGTGTGCCATCAAGTTTGGGGTTGGAGAGAGCAATCTAGTTGGAGCTTCTCATTATGCCTCTCAGCTCTCCCACCCAACGCAATTTATGAATC